CTGAGTTCTCACTGGAAGGCAGTTATGAAGGAACTAGATAAGATCATCAAGTGCAAAGATATCTAATTAAATACCCAGGCCAATATCATCCCTAGTATTTCCAATTTCTTGATACAGGTGTGAAAGTTAGACTGTGAAACAAGCAGGAAGAAATTCAACGCGTTTGAAATGTGGTGCTGGAGGAGAGGGTTCGGTGGATACTATGGAGTGCTAAAAAGACAAATAAATGAGTCTGAAGGCAGATCAAGCCTGAAGTCTCCCTAGAAATCAAAATGACTCATCCACATTACTCTGAACATATCAGGAGATGACATGACTCACTAGAAAAGATAATAAGGTTTGGTAAAGCAGAAGGTGGTAGGAAAAAGGAGAACAGTATTACGAGAGGATTAACTCCAGTAAAGAAACCATGGCTGTCCTGAGTTTGCAAGACCTGAGCAGGGCAGTCAATAACCAGGGATCTTGGAGGTCTCCCATTCAGAGGGTCACCATAAATCAAAGCTGACCTGACTTGATGGCACATAGACTCATAGATTCATACAAGTTGGAAGAGACCCCAAGGGCCAAACAGTAATCCAGGTAGATCAGACCAAAGCAGAATAGAGCTTTGCTTCCCTCAGTCTAGACACTATACTCCTGTTGATGCAGCCTAGGATCATATTGGCTATTTTAGCTGCCACGTCACCCTGTTGACTCACGTTCAACTTGTGGTCTACTAGGGCTCCAAGATCCCTTTCACATGTACTGTTGTCAAGCCAGGTGTCCCGCATCCTATATTTTCATTTTTTACTGCCCAAGTGTAGTATCTTAAATTTCTTCCTGGTGAAATTCATTTCATTAGTTTTGGCCCAGCTTTCGAATCTGTTAAAGTCATTTTCAATTCTGATCTTGTCGTTTGGGGTATTGGCTACTCCTCCAAATTGGGTGTCATTCGCAAATTGGATAAACATGTCCCCTATTCTTTCATCCAATTCATTGATAAAGATGTTGAATAGCAAACTGGGCCCAGGACAGAACCCCACTGGACACCCCACTGGTCACTTCTCTCCAGGATGAAGAAGAAGAGGAGCCATTGCTGAGTACCCTTTGGGTTCGGTCAGTCAACAAATTACAAATCCACCCAGCAGTTGCATTGTCTACACCACATTTTACTAGCTTTTTTGCTAGGATTTTTCATTGCTTTTAATATTTTATTGCAAATATTTTTAATTTGCTATCTTTAGAAGCTGCTTTGGGAGAAAGGTGACATATAAAGGAAGGAAAGAAAGAAAGAAACATGCTGAGCCAAATCTCTGGGCTGCAGGCAATATAACTTGGGCTGTGTCAGAGGATGAGTCACAATAAGGCATCATCATGCGTCAGCTGGAATGGTGTGATGCACAAGTGGGATGGTGAGGTCACAAGGCAAGTAGAGGAGAGGCTGGGGAGATAGCGGTCCCTCCTGTAACTGGGCACCAGTTTGGCCAGCTTAACTGTGGTTTGTGGAGAGCAGACCCAAAGGACCATCAGCTCCATCTACTCCGTAACTCCAGAGAGCTGAAGAGTAATCCACCCAGCTGCTGCTGTGCTTGGTGCTTTCTCCAGAGAAGAACAGCCAGGTAGCCATACAACTTCTTCCTCCTTGAATTGTCTCTCCTTGCTGGATCAGACCAAAGCTCAGATCCTGATTCCAGCAATACAGCCAGAAAACCTAACTGCAACATCCCAGCTCTGTGGCTTCTTCCCCATTAGATGTTGCTATGTGTCATCAAGTGAGCTTTGACTTATGGAAACCCTCTGAATGAGAGACCTCCAAGAGCCTCAGGCTCTGGGCAGACAGGCCAGGATATCACAAGCCAAGTCCATGCTATCCCAGCCAGAGTCGCATCCCGGATCAGTCCCCGGCCTGGCATGGGGACCGGCGGGTGTTTACATGCCCACCCATTCCAATAACAACAACAACAACAACAACAACAACAACAACAACAACAACAACATAGACCCCTGTTGCTAGATCAGTCTTTGGCCAGGCAAGGTGTTTACATGCCCACCTGTTCCTGCGCCATGAACCCACTACCGCCACCCACCCCTTACCTCCCTCTCCTATGGCCACTAGTGAGAAGACCTCCATCATCACTTCCGACATGGAAACGGGGTGACCTGGCTGCACCCATGTGGCCAGGCACCCCATTTCCACATCAGATGTGGCAATGGGGATCTTCTCATTAGCAGCAATGGTGGAAGGAGGTAAGGGGCACATGGAGCCATCTGATCTGCTGGGGTTTGAGGTGGCATTTCCACAAAACTCCACAGCAAACGGCAGGGCACTTTGACCTGTGCTGAGGCCCCTCTGACCCAAGATTCGATCAGTTCCACAAGATCCACATCCAGTCTGCCAGATCCTGGCTGGATCCTGGTATGGAGCTAATGGCTTGCATCATCCAAACAGAACAGCCCCTCAGCCATCAACAGCCCTGCTCAGGTCTTGCAAATTCAGGACAGCCATAGTTTCCTTGATGAAATTAACCTACCCGTAATGTGTCCTTCCTCATTCCAACATTACTGAATGGCAGCATCTTCACCAAGAGCCAGCGTGGCATAGTGGTTTGAGCATTGGACTATGATTCTGGAGACCAGGTTTTGATTCTCTGCTCAGCCATGAAATCCAGCCATGAAATCCAGTGGGCAAATCACACTCTCTCAGCTTCAGAGGATGGCAATAGCAAACCCCCTCTGAAGAAACTTGCCAAGAAACCCCCACAAAGATGCCTTAGGGTCGTCATCAGCCAGAAACAACTTGAGGGCACAAATCAACAAAAGTAAACCTAAGAGATAGCCAGCATGGTGTAGTGTTTTGGGTGTTAGACTATGCCTTTGGAAACCAGAGTTCATTTCCCAGCTCAGCCTTGAAACCCACTGGTTGATCTTGGGCAAGCCACATGCTCAGCCTCAGGGAAGGCAATGGCAAACCTCCTCTGAACAAATCTTGCCAAGAAAACCCATGATAGGGTTTCCATAAGTCGAAAATGACTTGAAGGCATACACAATAACAAAGCATCTTCACCAGTAGCAACCTGTATTGCTGAAATCTATAAAGTCAGGGGCAGTATCCTAAAAAGGTAGGCTGCCCTGACTCTGGAGGTTCAAGCAATGTAGGTTAGTGTATCAGACCAGGGATGGGTCTACTCAGGCCAGAAAACTCTGGGCTGCTCCCAAAGTATTCTGGCCCCAAATCCTCCCATTACCTGGGCTCTAGATGATGGCAAGTGAGTGTCTACACAGATGTCCTACTGTGCCATCAACTGCCACCGCCATCGCTGCCATCTGTCTCTGTGACAGAGAAGGCTAAATATCTCACCAACTAGAAATCCCAGGTTTCTATAAGATGGAGTGATGGCAGTTAAAGCGGTGTCAAACTGCATGAATTCTGCAGTGTAGATGCAGCCTTAGTGAGAGAGCAGAGATCTGCCAAAGTGAGGCAGCTCCTAAGAAATGGCATCTACATTTGAAGAACTACTGTCTCTTTTTATGTCTACGGGGCCAATGAATCCACCCTTGTTTTTCATCTGAACTTTAAAGGATCCATCCAAGAGGACAAATCCTACCCTCAAATCTCAATGCAGGTCCATTGCACTGGATAGCTGTTTTAGAATTTGAACTAAAGAAGTATCACAGGTATCTTTTGTTGTTGTTAACTGCCTTTGCGTTGATCTCGACCCATTGCAACCCTATGGATGAGATACCTCCAGGCCCCGCTATCCTCTCCTGCTCTGCCCAGCTCCTGCAAACTCATATTTGTGATCTCTTTAATAAAGTCCATCCATCTAGCACAAAGATTTTGCTTCCGAAATTGCCGCTCGAATGCAGCCCGGGTCCATCCCCGCTTCCAGGAGCTTTCCAGCAGCCATTTTTCAAGCCGGAAAACTCCCGGTTTCAAAAAGAGGCACCTGGGAGTAGGGATGGACCCGGCTTCATTTGGGAGGCAATTTCGGTAGCAAAATCTTTGTGATAGGGTCCAAATGCAGCCCAATTTAAAATTAAAATCAGTTCAGGTAAAACACTTTATTTTAGCTATGCGATAACCCTCTAAGTCTTGTCATCTTGGCTTCTAGGAATACTTCTGGCTTGATCTGCTCTAGGACCCCTTTCTTTGTCCTTTTGGCTGTCTGTGGGATCCTCCGCACTCTTCTCCAGCCCGATATTCTCTCAAAGGCATTGGTTTTCCTCCTGTCTTCTTTCTTGACTGTCCAGCTCTCACATCCATCCATGGGAATAGGGAATATGACGGCTAGTATGATTGTAACTTTTGTGCTGAGTTGTATATCTTTGCATTTTGGGATCTTTTCTAGTTCTTTCATAGCCGTTCTCCCCATTCTTAATCTCCTTTTGAGTTCCTGACTGCAGTCCTCATTTCTATCAATGTTTGATCCCAGGTATGG